AATAGTGAATATCAAATACCAAAAAAAAACAACAAAAAAAATATCATGCAGTGTTAAGTATGTGAATAAAATTTCTGCAACATTTTTTGCATAAAAAAAAATTAAATGTATGCATACCTACTATGTGAAATTCCCAATATTTATTCTTTTAACTTTTAATGAAATTTCAAGGTTTAACTTAAGTTCAGCGCATCTAAAGAAAAGCTATAAATCGAAAATCCAAAAAAAAAAAACTCTACGAAAGTAAAGCGAAATGACGAATAAATGTAATTTAAAATATATATATGAAATACAAGCGTGAATTTGTTTTAATAATCGCTTAATATTTATCTGTAGGTAAGTACATGAATGTGATAAATCCTGAGATGATGATATTAAATAAAATTTATCATGGAATTTCTATATAGATTTGCCCGCTGATTACAAAAATCGAGCTAATTTTTTATTCTATGGATAAATTCTGCATAAACCGTACATATATCACTTTTCGATAGGTATGATAGTTTCTGACAAATTAATAAATCATTCCAGATTTTATTCATTAGTAAATTGTTATTTTTGTAACAGAATAGTCTTTAGCACAGATGAAAAAATTGGACACAGAACCTGTTTGTTTTTAAATTGTTCTCCTTTTAAAATTTTGATTTTTTTGTATAAAAAAAAAACTGGAATGATTAAAGAATTTGTCAGAAACTGTCTGTCCTGTCGGAAAGTTATGTATATACGATTTATGGAGAATTTTGTTAGCTTTCATTTTCCGTATTTAATTTTACGGTTGGTTAATAGGCTCGTAAGATATACGCGATTAAGTGGAAACACTTTTTGTTTTAAGCTGAATAAAAGCAAATTGAAAATATCTCGAGAACTTATTCATAATCACGAAAAAAAACTGATAACAAGGCAATCTCAGGATATGTGATTGGATCATTATGGAAATACATCAAAGAATATTAAAGTGTCGGTATTTCAATTAGATGTTTTTTTAGTAAAATTGCCCCCAAAGTATCTAGGCTGAGCCTATTTCTGCTTGTAGTGAAAAGTGAATGTGCCGCTATGCGCAGCAGTGTTGCCAGAGAAAAATTTCGTTTGGAGCTAAAACGGCCGAAAAACGAGCTAAAAGAGCTAAATAATACTAATAGTAGCTAAAATAAAGAGCTAGATTTTCTTTTAAGTTGAGCATTTATTGACGTAAGGTTGTTTTTACATTTTCCGAAATTTTAATAAAAACAACGAATTTTGTAAGTTTAAGTGCTGAAAAAAAACTTAAAACCTAAATAAGGTGCATATATTTCGAGTTCGTTATAACAATTATATGCATGTACATATTTATATAAACTATACAATGAACTAAAAGTACTTTACAAGCTGTTAAAATCTGCAATTTCAGATATTTGAATTGACCATACAAACTCGGGTTACAAATAATTTTTTTCGAAAATGTTTTTTGAGAAGTTTTACTTCATTCTCCTGAGATCGCCAAATCCAAATAAATTTTAGTCAACACTTGTGCAATGAACTTACAGATTTGTAATTTTAATATGTTACCAAACACAACTAAAACTTTCTGAAGCTAAAACAGTGCTAGATAATTTTGCAATGGGCTAAAAAAAGAGCTAGGAGCTAAGGCCCAATTTTCGGAGCTAAATGGAAAATAAAGAGCTAAATCTAGCTCCAAAAGCAGCAAAATGGCAACACTGATGCGCAGTTTCGATTTCTTTATTATCTACACGGTTGGCTGAGGCAATTACGTTATGTTTCAAATCGGTAACACCGTAATGAGAGATTTTTAGTAGAAGTTATAATTTAATTACACTGGATCACAAATTTTAGTTTGGTTTTTGTTCCCCAAACGCCACTACCCAATTTCTATATAGAATTGCTAGGTGATTTCGAAAATCGCGTTAATTGTTTTTCCCAAAAGAATGATGCTTACCGTTTGATGTGTAAATATGTAGATGTAGCTGTATCAAAATTATTTACCTTATCATAAGCGGTTTCATACATAGTCGATATGAGAAGTTCAGTTTGTATGGGAGGTGCCCGCCCTCATTTCCATAATCTATCACTTTTCGCCGAAAGTACGGTATTGATAACATATCTTGCTGTGTGTAAAATTTCAGGACGTTATCATAAGCGGTTCCAGAATTAAGCGATATGAGAATTTCAGTTTGTTCGGAAATGCATCATGAAATAAAAACTTGTTCGGAAACGAAAAAATATATAATTAAGTGCACCCTGCGAATTTGCAACCCTGTGCAAGCGTTTCCTTTTTGTATTCGTCACTTGGATCACCCTGCATTCGCCAATGCTTTCTTTGAGTTTTGCTAAAAGCTCCATCTCATTTGTGGTAAGCTGTACTATAAACATAAAGCTTTATGTACAGTACGCACACACTACAAATAGACTTATCAGACTTATGGCGTGTGTATACAATAAAATTTACAAAAGCAGGGAAAGGTGTAATTATTTATGTGGCATTTTTGGTAAACGCACGGTTTTTCTTTTTCGGTAAAAAATTGGTGTTTTCAACTAAAATTACATTTTTATTCTTAACTATTTAGTTGCAATAAAATGAAAAATAATGAAAATTGTGATAGCTGTTCAAGTTTATTCGCCACCGAAATTAGAATTTTCAAGTAGTGGATGTTTTTTTGTAGTTTTAAAATATTTTTTTATATTTAATTTTTATATGATAAAAAATATTTTTGTATAATTTTTTTTTATGATGAGTTTCTTTTATCAAAAAAAAACTTAACCTCAGTTATATTGCGACTTTAAACCAAAAAGTTAACCGTGTAGTTGTTTCACAAACATTACTTGTCTGCTTTATAAAATTGAAAGTTTCAGAGCAACTCAAATGCCAAATAAAAGTAAAACAAAAAATACATAAATGAAAATATTAAATTTTGCTTTATTTGAGACTGAAATGTGAACGATTGAAAATTAGATAACATTTTTGTTATGTTAGCAAATGTTATGTTAGCTGCCTCTCAGCGGTTTTACCTTTAAATTTTTATAGTAGTATTAGTATTAATATAGCTTTTGAGTATTTTGAATGATCACACTGGATCACAAATTTGGATTTCGTTTTTGTTCTCCAGACACCACTATCCAATTTGTATGTAGAATCGCTCCCTGATTTCGAAAATCGAGTTAATTTTTTTTGTATGGATACATTTTAGAGATATTTGCAATTTACCTTTATTCCGCTTAAAAAAAAAGAGAGTGGTTCCACTTAATCACATATATCTTACGAACCAATTGAATAATCGGAATACGAGATGCGGCAATGAAAGCAAATAAAATCCTCCATAAAAAGTATACACATCACATTTCGATAGCCCTCATAGTTTCTGATGTTGCCATCTCTGTGCTCTGTGCTCTCTACGCACATATACAATGAAAAGGCAACCTTTTTGAAGTGAAACTTCTTTAGCGGCGGTTGGTTGGGTGGGAGTAAATTGGCAAATTCAGCGGAAATTGCACATGGAAATGGTGCAACGGAAATGATGCAACGGAAATGATGCAACGGAAATGGTTCAACGGAAATGGTGTAACGGAAATGGTTGGGGCTGAAACAAGTACTTCTTGTGTGTATGCATATGGAATGAATCTAACAAAAACTTGTTAATAAAAAGTTAGAGGATAACACTTAGAAATAACAATACAATAATGAAAGTAAAGGTGAGTACGTACATACATAAAGAAAATTATAAAGGCGAAGGTAAAAATAAAAACAAAAACAAAAACAAAGATGTGTAAAGATATAGGCAAAAATGAAGACTCAATCTGGGAACTATTTTGGGATTTTAGAGATTTTCGTGATTCTCGATTAAATAATCTATATTTTTATCGGTTTTTTTATCGATATTTATCGATTTTCTTATCGATATTTATTGATTTTGTTATCGATACTTATCGATTTTGTTATCGATATTCATCGATTTTGTTATCGATAATTACCGATTCTTATCGATTTTGTTCTCGATATTTATCGACTTTGTTAGCGATGTTTACCGATTTTGTTATTGATTTTGTTATCGTTTTGTTGTCGATATTAATAGATTTGTTGTCGATATTTATCGATTTTGGTATTGATATTTATCGATTTTGTTATCGATATTTATCGAATTGGTTATCGATATTTATCAATTTTTTATCGATATTGTTATCGATTTTGTGATCCATATTTATCGATTTTGTTACCGATCTTTATCAATTTTGTTACCGATTTTGTTACCGATATAAATTGATTTTATTATCGATATTTATCGATTTTGTTATCGATATTTATCGACTTTGATATCGATATTTTTATTGATTTTTTAATCGATTTAGCTACCAATGGTATTGCCGATGTTGCTATTGAAATTTTTATTGAATTTGTCATCGATTTTGTTATCGATATTTTGATGGACGTTATAATCGATTTTGTTGTCGATAGAGTATGAAGATACAAATGAAGATAATGGAAAAACAGAATAACATGAACGTTATTAAAACGAACAGTGGTAGAGGTAGGGATCTACATCGATAGAAAAAAAGCGAAAGAATATAACTTCAAGCAAAAGCAGATGAGTGTATGTATAGATAGATAAGTAACGTAAGTTTCACTTCTGCAGTGTGGCCCAGGCGCACTGTTTTTTTTTTTTTTTTTTTTGAGAAAAGAAAACACCATTAGTTTATTTGTTTAAGATCAAGCGTTACGTTGAAGTCTAGTTTATGTTTTAGCAGTTAAAGTAATTTTTGTTTTAATTATAATTTTCTCCTTCTTAAATTTAAATTTTTTTCCAGTGTAATTCACTTATGTTTTATGCCTTATCTGACCATTGCATTTTCCCAAAATATTTTACATATTTATTCTTATTAAAAAAGTAACCTACGCCTCATTATTATTTAAATACAGACAACATATATGGCTGAATATTCAGTAACGTTGCTGGTTTCAACGACTTTGGAGCTGCATCAATTGTGATTTCCATTCTTCTACATATTTATAGGTACATATTTTCGGCACGTGCATATCTACTTAGTACCTATATGCATAAATAAAGAAATATTCTGCAAAATAAACAAACAAAAACTGAATATCATAAGCGTAAAACGGCATCAAAACAAAATGTGGCAAAAAATACGGGCAGTAAAGCAAACCGGTCAAACATACGCCAGGCTAACAAATTTGAGCTTTGCCGGCTTTCGGGCACAACAAGTGCGCACAGATTATTCGATCGCGGTGAGTGGCGAACAGAATTTATGGTATACCAAAAATTGACAAATTGATAAAACAAATAAATGCATGTTTATATGATGTTAATAGTAAAGTACCAGATGATTTCATTACCTTGATTCTTATATTGGTGCTGGTTGGTCAAAGAAAGACTTTTCCGAGTACATACAAACGTGAATACTTACATATGTATGTATATTGGTGTTTGTATACAAGAGTAAAGAGATACCCTGTAGTAAAAAGTCAAAGCAGTCGGTAAAAATAACAGTTCATTAACTGGTATAAGCTTGCGGCGGCCTACAAGTTGAATTGTAAAAGCCAAAATTAAAATGCAATTATATTAATTGTTTTTCTCATAAATGTTTGCTGTGGCAACGTACAGTGGTGCAAACGCAAGAAGTGCTATTCAGAAAGGTCTACACGTAAAAATTTTGCGGATACATTTTTTTTTTTATTGAAAGTTAAATAAAATCATAAGAGGTTTAAGGAACTACTTTGATTTTTTTTTTGTTTTTATAGTTATTTTAAATAAAGTTAAAAAAAAAAAATCTGCGCTTGACTCCTAGGCGTTAATTGTTAAATGTCTTATACTTTACATAATTTCTAAGATAGAGAAAGATTTTCTAAAGTCATTTTCCTATATATTTTTTACAATTTGTTTTGATATACAATATGAGTTGATCGAAAAATAAAAAAAATAGCATGATCAATTTTTTTATAATTAAAACCGTTATCAACCAAAAAAAAAATTATTAAAAAAAGGAGATCCTTTAACCTCTTTAGTATCTAATTATCCTTCAACTGAAAAAAAAATCTGTCAAGAATTGTAGGCTGCGGACCTTTTTGATTAGTAAATTTCAAATTTTGATCCCCTGTGCGTCGCGTGAAAATTACCGCTTGTGGTTCTACATTCCAGGTTGGAGTCTTCTTGGAGGTGTTCAATGTAAACTAATGGGAATTATTTCAATTTAATTATAGATCAAACTAGTTTTGTTAAAAAGAAAATCCTAACTAAAACTATAAAAATTAAAAAAAAAAATATATAAATTAAAAAGGTTTTTAAGTAATAAAATTTAAAAATTACAATAAAAAACATAAATAAAAAATTCGCGGATTCGACCTAGAATTGGGCACGGGGCTAAATATTCAATCGCGATAACGCCCATCCCGAAATTCAGTTTTTAAGTCCCGAACCTGCTATAATGAAAGATCTGGCATCGATTTTTTTTTTTGCTTTATTTCATTCACGCGGGTCCCGATATTCCGCACCCATCTCTAATTCGAACCTCGAAACTATCTCAAAGCGGCACGCGACTGTTGGAGCGGTGCGAGCAAAATGACATACTTATTCCTTTCACCAGTAATTAATCGGCCGACTACCCCGCTAACTGGTATGATGCTACTAGTATGTCCACTGGCAGGTGTTGATGCATGGCCGGACATTTGGCTTTTCGTAGGACATCACCATGTTAAAAATATCAGTTGTTAGCATGACAACAGGAAGAAAGTCGATTTAGTTGAGTTGAAAACAAACTGGTAATATTCTAGTGCACAACCAGAAGCTTCCCTGCAGGGTATGTCCAAACATTCGAGCTGGTGAATAAACAATATATATATGTATGTATGTATATTTATCTACATATGATGAACCGGGTGCATTGAACCAAGCAAGCAGAATTATTGCCTTTATTTCGCTTGATTATAATTAAGCTTCTACAATCTTTATTTACAAATGGTACACGGAAGGGAATGAAAATATTAAATAAAGCGAAAGTAAATGCAAGTGTCAGTGTAATTAAAAAAAGGAAATAAATAATTTCTTCAGGCGACTTTGGTCAGCTCCATAGGCATACTTGCATACATACATATGTATGTATATATACTGGTCTATTGCCAGGAGCATTTTTTCTTCAAAAAAAAGTGTACATATCTGCAATTTATCTTGTCTGCAAGTTGTGTGCCAATGTGAAATTTAACCCCTTTTTTCACCATTTGATTTTAAATGAGATTCTCATCTAAGTATTTTCTCGTTTACGTTTTGTACTACTATATACATATATGAGAGTCACTAAATGCAGTCGGCTTGAGATCAAGCATTGCAGAACTTTATTCCCAATACATTACTGCTGTCTCAAACAAGTAGCAACTAGAGATGGGCACGGGTCTAAATATTTAATCCCGATCCCGCCCATCCCGAAATTCGATTTTTAAGTCCCGAACCCGCCCATCCCGACGTTTTTCATGAATTATGCGGGGTTGCGGTTTTATCGGGAGTGTCGGGAAAAGATTTTGGTTCCGTCGCGCCCGCCATCTCCCAGATCTTCCCGATACCGCCCATCCCGGCCAATTTTAAATCAGTACCGTGGGGCCCGCGAGTCCCGCTATCCCGCCCCCATCTCTAGTAGCAACCTACAATGTTCACCTATGTGAATAAAGTAAGTCTAAGGGAAAGTCCTAAATATCTGTGAGTTTGTAATTTCCTCAAGTTTTCTTGACTTGCCTTTTTGAATTCTCTCAATACGCTTTTCTAAGGATCTGCTTGTCCAATTTTCCATAATAGTATCTGTAAACTCATAGCTAGGAAGCATTCCGATCCTATTGGCCTCGACGGTTAGCTACTGTTCACCTTGCCAACCTGTGATCCTCATCGTTACACTTATGCGTTTATGAGCCGGAACCCACCTTATGTTCGTCAGTTTTTAATCAATCTTTGTACAAAATTCGAATCTGAATCAGAATGATGTTTTCAAAAGTTGTCTGGTGCCATACCGCACTACAAAGATTAGACCCTGTAGGTTATTTTCGATGTCTATTTAATAAGAAATAATTGTCTGCTACTAACTTTGCATAAAGGATGTGCAAGTTTGAACGTGAGTGTGATTAATCCCATACATTTGAATGTATCGCAATAGGGGTGTCAGACGAATGAGGTTTATAAAAATTGCAATTTGAACATATTTTGAAGAGGATTGCCACCTGCTTTAATAAATGGGTTAAAAAGGCTTTGTTTCCTAATTACATGTAGTAGGGTTGCCACCTGTTTGAAAAGTTAAATTCAACTTAATTCATCAGTTAATTGAAATAAGTGTCACATTATCGGAAAAAAGAGATTTGAGACGGTTTTAGCTTTAAAATACTTTTGAACAAGGTTGCCATATGTTTTAAATTTGGATTTAGTAAAATCGTACACAAATTATATGAAATATTCAAATATGAGTATCAAGGGTAGAGTTTGAAGAAAGCTTAAGTCATAAAATGTTCCTGACTAGGGGTGCCACCTAATCGAACATTTATATCTATGTAATTATGACTAAATATTTAAATACAAATATAGAAACATTCTAGGATCTGTAAGTATTTGTAAAAACTAGAAAAATTATATATCTTTGGTTTTAGAGAGTATTTAATATCAACAAAATGTCATATTTTTATAGACCAAACAACAACTTAATGAACTCATAGATTACAATGCACCAGAACGCACTGATCCCGAATGGGTGAATGCGAAGGAATGTGGGACAATACCTGGACCATCCAAGTATGGATTCTTCTTAGCGTTTCTACCTGGAGGTAAATGTATTTTCAATCGATTTCACAAAAAGTAGAAGGTTAACAATTCCTCGGAATATTTTTTTTTATGTATTTTACCGCAAAACTTTGGACCACATTAAGTACTTTCTATAATTCGTTTTATAAAGGAAAGGTGTTATCTCACAGGTGGTCCAATACTAATTTGGTTTAAACCGGGTCATGAAGAAATTAACGATAATCCTAAGTTTTTATATGAGAATTAAAGTCAGGTTGTTTTTTTTTTCTAAAAATTACTTGTTTGAATTATTTTCTTTTTCAGAAGGAAATCCAAGAAAATATTTTAATTCGTTAAATTTCTAACAAAAAAAAACAAATATTTTTATACTCGTAACTAAATTTCTTTATCTAATTTTTTAGGTGAATTTCACAATTTGAACTACATGGAGATGAATAAAATCTTGCGCAAAAGATATGGGGACATGTTTCTTCTGAAAGGCATATTTAGTCGACCTAGTACCGTATTCACCTATAATGCTGACGATTTCGAAACGATATATCGCAACGAAGGCATATGGCCTATACGTGAGGCATTAATGACATTCGATCATTTTCGAAAAGTCAAAAGACCGGATTTTTTCAAAGGCAACAGTGGACTTGTAACTGAGTAAGAATTCTTTCATCATCTTCATTAAAAAGTTCCGATTTTTTCATGAGTTAAAAAAACCAAAACAACAACACTCTTTCTCAGACACGGTCGCAGCTGGGGTGACATGCGCAATAAGATTAACTCGGTCATGATGAAGTCGGCCAGCATACGCGCTGATCTACCACAAATCGACAAAATTTCTATGGAATTTTTAGAGAGGTATGCTGAATGCTTATTAGAAAATTTTAGTTGATTCAAATTTATCTGCTCTAAATTTTTAAATTTCTTTTATCGAAATCCATTCCACTCACACAGATTTGAGTCTATACGCAATCCCATCACCGGTTTATTGAAAAATGATTTTCAAGGTGAGCTGAAAATGTGGGCGTTTGAGTCGGTCACATATATTGCGTTGAATAAACGTTTGAATGCATTCAGTGCGAATGGTAGCGAAGATGCGGCAACTCTGGCAGGCAATTGTGAAGATGTTTTCAATCTGAGTTTTGTTTTGGACATGACGCCATCTTTGTGGAAATATTTTGAAACTCCTGGTTTTAAGAAATTAATGCGCGCCTACAACAGCGTTACGGAAATCACATTCAAATACATAGACGAGACTATGAGACGCATAGAAGCGGAAGGTAAAACGGAGGCGAATAGCGTTCTAGAGAAGTTACTGCGTATCGATAAGCATTTAGCTGTTTTGATGGCCATAGATATGTTGAACGCCGGCATGGACACTGTTTGTATAAATAAGTAGATTTAATAGCTGGTTAATATATTTTAATGCATTTACTTTCAGACTGCATCTTCATTTATCACGATTCTGTATCATTTAGCGCGCAATCCCGACAAGCAGGCGGCACTACGTCGTGAACTAATCCGTATAATGCCCGATCCAAAAACTCCGCTAACAGCCGAAAATACCAAAAACATGCCATATTTGCGTGCATGCATCAAGGAAGGGCTACGCATCACCCCCATCGCGCCGGGTAATCTGCGCACGATGCCCAAAGATTTGGTGCTCTCCGGTTATCGTATTCCACGCGGTACTTCGGTTCACATTGGCAATATGGCACTGTGTAACAGCGAAAAGCACTATCCACGTTATAAGGAATTCATACCTGAGCGCTGGCTGAAAGCGAGCGAGGACGCTTGTCCAGAGTTGCGCAGCAGTAATCCCTTTATTTATGCCCCATTCGGATTGGGACCGCGCCAATGTGTGGGCAGGCGTGTGGCAGAAATGGAAATGGAAACTTTGTTAGCACGCCTGATACGAATGTATCAAGTAAGCTGGTCCAAACCGGAAGAAATACAGTATATTAGCAATTTAATTTTAATACCGAAGCCGCCTATGCATTTTAGATTTATGCAACTTGAAGAGGAAGATTGCGCCATAGGTAGTTTGGCTGTGTAGGATGAAATACTTTTTTTTGTGAATTGGAATTAAGTAAATGTTAATTATTATAACGTAAAATTGTTATTAGGAGATCAACAAGATGTTTTTAATGTTGGAAAGTCTTAAATCCGGGATGAAAAATAACAGTTTTTGAAATTTCAATTTGTCTACTTAAAGGAATATTAATTTTATACTTTGCAGTCTAATATAACAGTTAAAATTTTAATTGTTTTTTGCGATCGAAAGTAGACATATATTGGCTTCTGATCGGCTTGCCAACGAACAAAGAAGATATAAGTCGTTTGAGCAATAATATGCAAATAAACTGTTATTTTTATCGAAAGATTACAGTTACATTTTTATCCGAAAAAATATAAGTCGAATTAAGAGATAATTTTTGTT